TCCAAGTACTACTCTCATGCTATGTATCAGTAATAAGGCTTAAATTATTCCATTTTAAAATTATAAGTGTAGAAGTTTTTTTTTCCCTTGCCTCATCCCAACGACTTGTCCCCCACACCCCGGGGGTGGCTCTGAAGTAGAGGCCGTCTGGCTTCAAACCCCAAGGCTGCTGCTCCCTCCCACCGTGAATCGGGGCCTCGGAGACACTGCCTCTGCACCTGTGCTTGGCACCTGGGAAATGCAGTTAATGAGAGCGTTTTCCCCACAGGGTTGTGAGTCAGGGCTGGATTTGCAACCCGGCTTGGCCACCTACTTTCTCTGTGACCTTAGGCAAGTCGCTGCCTCTGCCTCTCGGAACCTCTAGATTAGGTTGGGGATTGAAACGTGAAACTCTTACAGGAGGAAGCTTCACAGACCCGCAAGAGAAGACAAATACGCAGATTTGGCCCAATCTCCTGAGGCTCAAACGTCTTGAACCTGTGAGTGGCTCACAGAGACTGTTGGGTTCCCATGGAACATTCTGGAAACATGGGGATGATTTGGTTATCACCGTGGTGGGGTGCTGCTCTAGCTCTCAGCATGGCCCAGGGACAGAAATGTCTTATGCAGAGCACCTGCACATGATAAAGCAGTGTCCTTTGTCACATACGGTTTTAAAATGTCCCATCGGACATTCATGAAGGATGAGTGATGTTCATAATATTTTGCAGCTGATATGCGAATATAAATTAATATATAAATCAATATATGCATCCAATTTTTGAAGTATTTTTTGTCTCAAGTAATCAAAACGGTCTATCTGTAAATACACATTTCTTTAAGTTTTTGCCAAGAACATAGTTAAAGCTCAACTCAAATTATTTAAAGATTTTGTTTCATTTAGAAATTGTCAGTATGATTTCTTGATTGATACAGCTGTATACATGCATATACATAAAATAATGTATAGATATATAATCTTGTCTTAGCTGTGATTTGATGAGGGAACCACATCAAATGCTTCTAGCAACTTCCCATTAAATTGAGAACCATTAGGTGACTTGGGATTTCAATAGATAAAGAACTTCTCTTAGCATCAACCATAGTGTTTTCTCTCTTTGCTGTTCCTGAACTAACCGTAATACATTAAAAACTTTTCTAGCCCTTATAATATTGTCCGATAGTTTCGTATATCCAATATCTATTTTCAACTAAACAACAATATGACAAAACCCATAGCAACAATTAACTTGAACTAGCGAGTTTATATTACATGTTATTGAATTTTACTGCTTTCTCAATTACTCTTGTATTATTAACCAGAAAAAAAAACAGAAGTAGTTTAATATTTTAACAACCACATTGAGAAACCGGGTTAAGAATTATCTGAGCCCAGAACCTAACTCTTCACGCAAACGCAAAGTCTTTTTAGTAAGGTTATAATAGACTCTAAATTTTCCAGGAAGTGCAACAACCACATAAAATGAGGAAAATTTGTATCGTGTTTTGTTCAAAACTTGGCCAAGGCTTGTCAATAAGTTCAAAAAATCACATTCTACATGGCTCTTGGTAATTAGACAGCGACACCACAGTGTTTCCAGCTGTGTTGGAGCCGCATACATCACAAGTGCGAATGAATGTCTGGCTACCTCCTTGGGTTCTGGAGAGACGGGTCCACACATTCACATATAGAAATGCATATTATAAATCACTATCCTTTTATTACAGTTAGAGCAATGTAGAGATTACTTTTAAAATCATGTGCAGGTAGGTTATATTTATCTGTGAACTTCATTTCAGGAGAGCCAAGAAGACTTCCCAAGAGCTGACTCTCCAGCCAGCACATGCGCATGGTGGTTTAAACACAAAAACACGAATTATGGATTTGAGTCCCCTACTATTAGCCTCCTGGCTCTCCCTGGGGACCCCCTGGGCCTCCCCCTGACCAGCAGCCAAGGGGTTAACACTGGACAGTGGGAGGGAAGAGGATGCCAGCTGCTGTTGGATGAGCCAGTGCAATTACCAGGTAATAAATTCTTTGTGACTCGCCCTGGGCATTACACAATATTTGCCGTGAAAAGCAGGTGGCATGCAAAGACCTGTGTCCAACTGCACCATTATGCCCAATAGCCCCAAACTGGAAACCACCTAATGTTCATTAACTGGTGAGATCAACAAACTGTGTACATCCAGACAGTGCAATCCTCAGTGACTGGGGGGAAAAAAGATTAAAAACAAAGGAATGAACCGCCGATTCTGTGCAAAAATGACCACATCTCGAAAGCATCATGCTAAGTAAAGGAAGCCTGATGCAAAAAGCTACATACTATGATTCCACCGACGTGAATTTCTAAAACTTTAGTGACCCAAAGCAGGTCAGTGGTTGCCTGGGCCTGGGGGTGGAAGAAGGGAAATACGAGGAGGAAATTTTGGGGTGGCGGGGATCTGGCGTATCTTGATGGCAGTGGTGGGTTTTCACGAATGTGCACATCTTTCAAAACTCATCCAATCGTCCGCTTGGATGGCTGTAGTTTATTGTATGTAAATTATACCTCAGTAAGGTCGACCCCCAAAAAGCAGACGTGGGGGAGAGTCCAACAGACCTAGAAACATTGATCTATCATGAGGAGGGACAAGACTGAATCATTACCCTGTGCCTGCCTGCCCTTCCATACTGCCACTCTGAGCCCAGAACCCAGGCCCAAGCCCAAACCGGGGCCAGCCTGAGCCCTCCCTCCCAAGCCACGCTCCTTGAAAGGAGCAAGAGGGTTGTCCCATAAGAGAGGGGAGGGCAATGGAGGAGGAGATGGTGGGGTGAAGTCCAGCCCAGGGAGTGGCCATCCAGGTGCTTTTTCTTACACTTGTATTTAACTTTCTTTCATTAGAGCCTTTGAGTGAGGCAAAACAGCCATTGTCATCAGAGGGTGAGACTCGGCAGTGTTTGGCCAAGGTCACGTAGCTGGCAGGTAGCAGAAGCAGGATCTGAACCAGGATGACAGACTCAGCTCTGTAGCTGGACCCCAATTTAGTCTTTCTGCAAAGATTTATTGAGTACCTACTATGTGCCAGGTCCTATGCTGTGCTCTAGGCGTACAGCAGTGAACAGGACTAAAGCTGCTCCCTCACAGAGCACACGTCTTCATGCGGACCAGGTCTGGGAGCCACCTTAAGCCCCTGTCCAACGCCGAGGAGACCAGATGGTTCCAGTCTCCCGGTATGACCTATACCAACATTTTAGGCAAATTAATGGCATGTGCTCCACACATTTAAAATATGGAACAGGAAAATGGCTAAGTACTGTTTGGTGGAACTTGGCCCAGTTACCTATTTTTTGTATACGCACATGTTGTATATACAGTCTATGCAATATATTACACGCATAGGGTACGTACCTCTTTAAACAGGCATTCCTCATAATCTAAATCTAATCCATCCCCCCAAAAAGCATTAAACAGATTATCTGGGGATAAATGATTTTAAGCAAGGAAAATAATGCACTCCCAGCTCCATCCAAAAACCCCAACAGACTTCCCCAAATATCATTAAAAACATTCTTAAAACACTTCTATAAAAAAACCACCAAGGGTTCTGGCATAATAGAAAGCGTTGAAAACACCAATTACTTAACTATTCGACACTTAATGAACTCATTAGTGGCTACGTTTGAATGCAATGTGCAATTTTGCCTGGGAGCAGATGAATTGTATTTCCATACTGCAATGGTCATGAGATGTAACTAAACCAAAAAAAAAAAAAAAAAAGATGCTAAAGATGATCAAAACGCCATCTACTGCGCCCAGATTTGTCGTGCCTCCAGGCATTAGTCCTCACAGGGACCCAGGCAGATAATATCAGTAACGCGTAACACGCCTCAACAGCACATAAGACAGGATCCTGTTAAGACAGGTGAGCCTCAACTGGTGTCATCCACATCCCCGAGTCACACGACTTAAAAAATAGTTGCACCACAGGTTTTTGCTCCAAATGACACATTTGGGGTTAAAAGAAAAAAAGAGCAAGTCATTATTTGGACTAAGGGTAGAGTGAGATTTCAGATATCGAGGGATACCTGCATTCCTCTGCAGGCAGTTTACAGCGTAAAGTGAATTTCTTACCATGAGTCGTACAAAACTTTTAACTGGAAGATGATATACATAGGGTAAAATGCACATATCTTAAATGTGCAGGTTAACTTTTCCCAGTGTTTACAGCTGTGCAAGAGTCCCACTTATCAAGACATAGGACATTTGCTGCATCGTGGAAGGTCCCTTGTGCCCTCTTCCAGAAAATAAGCACTGACACAGGTCACCATGGCCGATTCCTCTCACCATAGACCAATTGAGGCTGTTCTGTGTCTTCCTATAAATGGAACTATATAGTACATACTGTTTCTGGCTTCTTTTGCTCAAAATATTATCTGAGATACACCCGAGCTGGATACAGTTGACCCTTGAACCGCGCGGTAGTTTGGAGTGCTAATCCTCCAAAAGTGGAAAAGCCATGACTCCTCCAAAACTTTAAGTTGTCCCTCGCTATCCACTGGGGACTGGTTCCAGGACCCCCTGTGGATACCAAAACCATGGATGCTCAAGTCCCCTATATAAAATCGTAGATCAATGCACAGTAAGCTCTCCACATCCAGACTCGCAACCAGATGGAGAGTACAGGTGTTTATTGAAAATAAGTGGACCTGCAGTTCAAACCCATGTTCAGTGGTCAACTATACAATACCCGCTTGTTGCTGAGTAGCCTTCTGTCTTTGAGTGATTTCTTTCCAAATTCTGGCAATTATGAAGAGAGCAGCTATAAACATTGGGTACCGGTGTTTTGGGTGAACAGAAGTTTTCAAGTCTTTTGGCTAAATAACTAGGAGCGGGACTCCTGAGCTGTATAATAAACGCATATTTTAACTTGATAAGAAACTGCCCAGCCATGTCCAAAGAGACTGGACCATTTTGCATTGCCAGCACGTGGTGATGTGGTAGGTGTGTGTAGTGGCATCTCATGGTGGCCGCCAATGGCGTTCATGAACAGACATTTTATTTCAATGAAGTTTAATTTATCCAGACTTTTTTTTTTTCCCCCAGTGCTTTTGGTCATATTCTTAAAAACATCTGATTACATATACTCGACAATTTTATTGCTAAAAAATGTCCCCTTACCCAGAGTTCCTGGCACTATTTCTGTTACTGTGTCATGAACAGAGGTCCAGGGACAGGGTGGGACGTACTATGGAGTCACAGCGTGCGTGCACACACGCACACATACACTCACGCATGCACGCGCACACACGCACACAACTACAGCCACCAAAATAAGCAGCAAAGGAGCCAGCAACATGTCTGAACATCCTTCTTCTCAAAGAGGGCAGAATTCCATGGGGTGACTGGTATCCTGTGTCCTGAGACAGGGAGGCCAGGCAGGCTCCCCAAATGAGGTGTGGAGGATGCTACTTCTCCACCTTGTTTCCTAGCCTTGGGTGGGGGGCAGAAGTTGGGAGCTGGGGAGATTTGGGGAGACACACTGACACACACACACACACACACACACACACACACACACCCCAGCAACGAGGCCTCCGAGATCCAGCATCCAGGAGGGCAGCTGGGGCCCCAGGCTCCCCAGAATCCCAGTGTGTCCATTTATCCATCCCTCATGATCCCAATGTCCAAAGTGTCCCCATCAGGGCAGAAAAGGTCCCCGCTGGGGTTTACATGACGGATTCCTTCTCGCAGATGTCTGCATTCCCAGCAGGCCCCGGATAATGTTTGAGGAGGGGGTTCCCCTCCTCAGTGGGGACAGGCAGAGGAGCCAGGGGTGTCTCGCTCTTCACCTGGATCAACTCTGGCTCCGAGCTCTGACACTCTGTCCGATCCACATAATGTTGGAGGAGTCCTGCCCCGAAGGCGTCACCTTCCACATTGAGGATGGTACAGGACCGGTCCCTGCGGAGGCAGAAGGGATGGGAAAGTGAGTGGGAGGGGGAGGGGGAGAGGGAGAGTCCAGGCCCAACCCTCCCTCCTCTCACCCTGGAGTCGTGAAGTCCCCATCACACCCTCCTACATAGAATTCTGTCATACTCTAGTGGCCCTCGAATGTCAGCCTCCCATCCTCCCAGGATCTCAAGTACCCCTTCCTTCTAGAACCTCAAAGATCTCCCCCATCCTTCCTGGACCCCAATGATCCTTCTTCCAACAAAATACGAGATCTATTGCTTCTGGAACCTCGAAAAGTCACCCCCCCCCCTTTTACTGGGCTGCAGAAGACCCACCCATCCCTCCTCTTCCCCCTGAGATACTGAGCTCTCCCTCAGGCCTTTCTCCTCCCTAGAATCCTAAGGATCTATTTCCCTCCTCTTTATGCTGTGTATGTAGACGCCATTTGAGAAAACTGAGCTATAATCCACTCTTTAAAAGTATACAACCCAGTGCGTTTTAGCATATTGAGTTATGCAACCATTTAATACCAGAATATTTTCATTACTCCAGAAACAAACCTCATACCCATTAAGCAGTTATCTCTCATTTCGTCCCATCCTCTCAGCTCGAGGCAATCATTAATCTGCTTTCCTGTCTATAGATTTGCCTATTCTGGACATGTCACAGAAATGGCATCACAGACTATGTGGTCCTTTGTGCCCGGCTTCTGTCACTCCACATGTTTTCAAGGGTCATCCATGCGGTAGCATGTATGTATGTACCAGTGCTTTATTCCATTTTATTGTGGACTAATATTCCATCGTATGAACAGGCGACATTTCGTTTATCTATTCGTTGATGGATATTTGGGTTGTTTCCACCTGTTCACTATTATGAAGAGTGATTAATAGGATAATAATAAAATAATATAGTATGAACATTTGTACATAAGTTTTCATGGACATGTTTTCAATTCTCTCAGACATATACTTAAGAGTGACATTGCTAGGACACATAGTAATTCTACATTTAACTTTTGAAACCAAACGATTTCTGATCTTTTATGCTCTCAATAGCTTAACCGTGATAGCTAACAATTATGAATGTAGTATTTACTACTTCTCAGGGAGTTGCATGTATTAAAAGTCATCTAATCCCAAGGAGAGACTATTCTCTCCATTTCACAGATGGAGAGACCGAGACACTCGGAGATTAAGTACTTGCCCAGGGTCATAATGGCTAGCGATGGTGGCGCTGGGATCTGAACACAAGTAGCCTGGCCTAAGGGTCCACTCTATTAACGACTCAGGCACACTACCTTTCTGGGTTCTTCTTAGAAGCCCAAAAATCCCTTTTTTCCCTCTGACTGGAATGCTCAAGGACCTATCCCCTCCCTCTAGAAATCCTTCCTTCCTGTCCTCCTCTGCCCAGAGACTCTCAATGACCCTCTTTCCCAGGGGTATCCCTCCCCGAACCCCCTGAAGCCCCAAGCCCACACTCACACTAGCCAGTCCACAGCCAGGATCAAAGAGATGTCTCGAACAGGCAGGTTGACTGCCTCGAGGATGATGGCAAGGGTGAGGACGCCTCCAGCGGGGATGCCCGCGGCGCCGACGCTGGACGCTGTGGCGGTGACCCTAGGCGGGGAGGGGAGGTCAGGGAGGGGCCTCTTAGTGAAAGAAGCTGGAGCCCAGCCCGTGTTCATTCTTAGTGTCAGGTGGGTCGGGGGTCCTAGTCGCAGCCCACCCCGCACTCACAGGATGGTGATGATCTTCACGAAGTCCAAGGGTCGCTGGTTCAGCTGTGCAATGAACACTGCGGCCACACACTGGAAGAGCGCGGCACCGTCCATGTTGACGGTAGCACCGATGGGCAGGATGAAGCGGCTGATGTGCTTGAAGACGCCGTTCCTCTCCTCCACGCACTTCATCATCAGCGGTAAAGTGGCCGAGCTGAGAGACATCGCAGATCTCAGTTAGCTCACAGGGCCAACCTGGGCCCGGCCCCGCCCAATCCCCCAAGCCCCGCCCCGGTCCCGCCCAACGCCCCCAAGCCCCACCCACCGAGCCCCGCGGCCCGGACTAAGCTCCACCCATCAGCCTAGACACTCCCTCCCAGCTCTCTGCGCCTTCCTACTCTTCCCAGAGCCAGAAGGCACTAGGGATCCCGCAGACTGTAGTCATTCCAAAATGTAGGCGTCCTGGACCCCCTGCTACTCCTCAAAATACACACAAAACTTCAAACCTAAATTCTATTTAGGTGAGTCTGAGGGCTCACTGACCCACGTCTCCTGCCACCTCCACCAATAGACCTCAGCTATGAATTCCTACTCTCTGGGAGAAGGTCCAGTTCTGAGGGGAACTGGGGCAGCAAAGATGGGTGAGATACCCAGGAGAGAAGGTGGAAAGAGCTCCCAGAGGTCAGATCCAGGGCGGAGCACTGAGTCACCCAGGGCCCGGGCTCGGTGCGGAGGAAGGGTTCTCAGAAAGGAAGAAACCTCTAAGGCAGCAGTTCCTTAATTTTAGGAAGGGGGGTTTCCGAGACCTTGTGAGAAGCTTAGAAAAGTATGACTCCTGTACCCAGATGCGGGGACCCCAAACACAAAAGTCCATTGGGTCTTCAGACATCTGATGCCACCCTCAAGCCCCTTAGCTTAAAACTCCCACCCCGATGTACCCCAAGGCCGCACCTGGAAGAGGTTCCGAAGGCGGTGGCCAGCGGTGTCAAGATGCCCCACAGGAAGCGGTAGGGGTTCTTCCGGGTGAAGAGGAAGTAGATGAGGGGCAGGACCAGGAGCCCGTGGATGGCATGGCCCAGCAGGCAGCACAGGATGTATTTGCCGAGACTGGCGAAGAGCATTCCCACATCCTTCATCTCCACAATCTTGCCAGCCACCAGGAACAGGATGCCCACAGGGGCATACCTAATAACACGGGAGACAGAAGGCGACCTCTGACCACATACTCCCCCAGAGGCAGGCACTGTGCTCTGCACCGCAAGATCACAGCCTCCCTGGCAGTCGAGAGGAGCCCACAGCCATGTCGGGGCATCTCCCCTGCCCTGCTGCATTCTCTCTCTCCTTGCAGATAATGCAGCTGGGAGATTTAAGAAGCCTGAGTGCTGCCATCACCACCTGGAGTACAGCCACTAACCGTATTTGGACTTAACACATGACCAAGGAAAAAAACAGCCAGGTAAACAGCATTTACGTTTTCTGGATTCGTTTGTTATAGCAGCTACCGTAACTGAAACCAAGACAATCTCTCAGGCTGTGGTTCAGATCTTAACAACCACTCCCAGACGTGAAGCATTTATGACGCACTGAGCCCTTGAACGTAAGCGGTTGAATCTTCGCCCCAAGGGAGCTCCAATTGAGTCTCTTATAGCTACTGTTGACTTAAGAAAATCTAACGGGTCTGCAAAGCAAGGAAGATAATGCTCCCGACCTCATAGGAATGTTGGCAGGATGAAATGAGAAGCCAGTTGAAATGAGTTGAAAGCTTTTCAATAATTCATCTATAAACTTTAGCGCTCTCTCCTAGAGTGCTAAAGATCCTGGGGTGCTTGTATGCCTCCCAGCCAGAAGGCTTCCTTTGACAGCTTGATCGCTATGTTGTTGCCCAAACCCCTTTCCTTTTAGAAAAAAAGGCACCACTTCCCAGCCACCTGCGCACCTGGGTTTGGCCAAACGCCCACATTCTAGCCAGTGGGACATGCCAAAAAGTTATACAAGTACTGGATAAATATTATCTAATATTGTTTACTGTGGGCCTGCTGTAGGTCAGTCACTGTCCCAAACACTTCCCACGTATGAATTCGTTTGTGCCTCGTATGACCAACCCATTTTCCAGATGAGGAAACTGAGGCACGGAGGGAGAAGTAACTTGTCGTAGGGCACAGCTGGAAAGCAGCCACGCGGGCATGGGAACCCAGGCCGCCCGGCTGCAGAGCCTGCTCCTCCGCACACGCCACCCTGCCTCCTCGGCAAAGTACTTTTATTAGTCGAGGTATACTCGGTGCCCACACAGCAGCTTCTCAGATGCCAGGTGCACCAGAATCAGGGCGGGGGGAGGGGGAGGGATTTATGAAAAATGCAGCAACTCTGGCCCAGCTCCTGACTCCTAGATCCAGGGTGGGCCCTGAGAACAGGTGTGACACCACGTGGAGGCGAGGCTGGGGGAGGGGACAAGGGTGGAAGCCAGCGGCCTACGCAAGATTTTTTTCTCATTTCCTAAGGCCATTTAAACAAAACTCATAATGGTACTGGTTGTACATAGCTGATATTAAGTCACCGTTCAGGAGGTGCCAGGCATTTAAAGCACTTTCTAAGGGCTTGCTTTACCTGAACTCCAGTCACTTGTTTCATCTTTGTGACAGTCCTATAAAGCAGCCGCAATTTTAGATCATTGATCCAAAGGCGAACACGTGGTCACCTTTAAATGTCTAACTAAAACTGAGATGCGTTAGCCAGGCCGTGGCCACAGTTTGGCTGTCTTTTTGTCACCTCCCAGGAAAATCAAGAAGGCGCCCGTATGATTCTCAGCTTTCATGGAATAGAGCACTGTCCTTATTTTATAGATGAGCAGTCTGAGGTACAGAGAGGGTAAGTCACTTGTCCGAAGTCACACAGCCAGGGAACGGTTGATGCTGGACTTGAATCCAGGCCGTCTGGTTCCAAAGAGTGGACAGAGAGGGTTGGCCCACCCTGTACCCCCAGTCCCCTCTCCCACGACCTACCACATGATCCAGGAGACCAGCACCATGGTGGCATCGTTGAAGGAGTTGAAGAAGCGGATGAGCAGCTCTCCTTCAGGCCCCAGCTTCCGCAAGGCCACGCCAAAGACGATGGCAAACACCACCAGGCCGAGGATGTTCATACCCTCCACCTCATCCCCCACGGGTACCTTTTGGCAAGGAAAAGATGGGGACACTTAGTCAACCTGCACGGTCACTGAGGGCCTATTCTGGACACTGCTAGGACCCAGTCTCTTGGGCTCCTTCCTCCCAAGGCTCACTATCCAGGTCCAGGGGTAATAGACCCGTTGCCAGGGGCAACCCAGAGTGGGCAGGGCTGAAGTCATCAGGTAGGGCTTTCTAGAGGAAGTGGCTCAGACCCCGGAAACGGGAAGGGTGAACCAAGTAAAGAGCGGCGGTAGAAGGTTCTAGAGAGAGGGAACAATGCGCAACAACCTAGAAATGAAAGCGACTTGGGCTTTCGAAGAGCAGAAGGAAATCCACTGTGGTCGGAGTGGAGTGAGCCAGGCAGTCACAAGGCGAGGCTGTGAGGCCGGGGGAGGGACAGCTGGGCGGGGGTCCGACCTCACAGCGCCCCCGCAGACTGTGCTGAGAAGCCCAGCTCTCTTCCAGGGGTGCTAGGGAGCATGCCAGGGCTTTGGGCAGGGGAGAGGCAGGGTGGAGCTTGTGCTTTGAAAAGACCTCTCTGTCTACCCTGCTGACCGTGGGTGGGAGGGGGTGGGCCTGGGGGCAGGTCAGGGAGGGAGCCGAGGCAAGGTGGGATGGGGGAAAAGAGGAGTCTGGACCAGAGCAGGGCAGTGGGGAGGGAGAAGAGGGTGCAAAATGAAGATTCCAGAAAGGCAGAAAAGACAGAGATTGGGGAGGGGCTGCTCAGAGTTTAAAACATTGCATAGCAAACGTTAGAAGATGCGGTGGCGGGCGGGGCGGGGGCGGCGTGGGCAAAGCCTGGGGAGGGAACAGAGTGGAAAAACCACAAGGGACCTGTCCCCACCCTGTCCCTTCACCTGCTCTCACCTTCACCTGGGTTTCATTGTTCCGTATCACTTTATAGGAGGTAGAGTACTGCAAGAGAGGGTAGGAGAGAGTCCGTGTTACCTGTTGTTGAGGCTTCTCCACCTGTCCTGGCACCTACAGTGCTCAGAGTCTGCCCTGAGCATCCGTTATTTCATCCCGCCAGCAACCCCACTAAGGCAGGACTCCGTGCCCCTGTATTCCAGAGGCGGGAACCTCAGAGCAGTAAAGGCACCTGCCCAGGGTCACACGGCTAGAATTAGAATCTAGAGGGGACTCCGAACACATATTCTTATTTCTCGATGAGCATCATAGATGGGTTTCGGTGGTCACCCAAGAACCCTGCAATATTGCCTATAAATATGTGGCAGGTTAGCTTTTCCAGGCACTGCCCCAGGTCAGGGCCCAAGGGGCCATGGCTGGTTGTCTCCCTCCCTGGACACCCGCCACCCCTCAGGACACCCCCGACAACTCACTGAGCGGAAGGCTGCAGACACCAGGTTGGAGGGGAAGATATTTCTGCAGAGACAGACATGGAGGAGAGGTTATTAGATACCGCAATAGTTCAGGGAGCATCTGGGCTGGCATCTCGGGATGGGGGAACCTCGGAGGCCCCGTTCGAACTCAAATGTGCACTTTTGGTCAGGCGGAGTTCCACCTGGGCATGTCTGCCTTTCCAGGGCTTGGGGACTCTGAGCTGGTCTCCTAGGGCCCCCAGTAGCCTGGGATTCTAGACCTGAGGGATGGTGGTTGGAAGTGGAAATGCTGGCTCCCCAAGGCGGGGGGTGGAGGGGGGGGCCAGAGTGACCCGGAGCCTTAGCTCCACCCCAGGCAGCAGACTTCACACCCTGGTCATCTTGCATCAGCCACTTCCTCCTAGGGGACTGGGAGGGCTGGAAAAGAGCTGGCCCTGAAGGCTGGCGGTGGCCTGTGGGTCAAAAGATCTGGGTGGAGCTTTGGGAAGAGGAGAGAGAACCACAAGGAATGGCTGTGTGCATCATGAATGGGCATCTGTGTTGACACGGTCACTTTTGTGACCGTTTGCGAGGGTGACTCAGTGTGCAGCAGCGTGCGTGGAACCCCACTGAGCATGTGGGGGTGTCAGGCAATGGCCTCGTGTCTCTGGGCCACGATGAAAATAGCAGGAAAAGCATGTCGTCAGCACTGTACATAAATCAACTCATTTAATCCTCAAGACAGCTCTCGGGGTTGAGCTCTACCATCCCGTTTTACAGAAAAAAAAGAAGACACAGAAAGGTGAAAACGCTTACGTGACGAGGAAGTGGCAGAGCTGAAATCGGAACCCCGCCAGCCAGATGCGCAGTGCTAACCACTGGGTGCCCCGACATCCTCCCCGCTAACCACTGGGCACCCTGACATCCTCCCTCTCCCCAGCTCTTGTGAGTCTGTACTCAGTTTGCCAAGTGTTGGTATTTAGCCGGGGCGAGGGTTAGTTCAGATATATGGGACACTGCTGGCGTGTGGCCATGTAGGTGTGTGTGTATGTGAGTGTGTATGTTTGTGCTGAAGGGGTATTAATATCCAATGGGGGGGTGTGTGTGTGTGTGTGTGCTGCTGGCGTGTGGCCATGTAGGCGTGTGTGTATGTGAGTGTGTATGTTTGTTCTGAAGGGGTATTAATATCCAATGGGTGTGTGTGTGTGTGTGTGACGGTTGATGCTAGCCCCATGTGTCGGTGTGAGACATCACAGCCGTGGCTGAGTGTCGGTGTGCCTGTGTCCAGCTGTGTGTCATTGGTTATAAAGTTGTGTAGCTCTGAGATGTTTCAGCTAAGCCTCGGAGTGGCTGGCCAAGTGTGAGTTACATCTGTTTTGGCACACAGGGGAAGCCCTCCACATAAACAGCTTTCAAGTAGGTGTGCCTGTCTGCAGGCCCGCCTGTACCCACCCAGGCCAGCTAATCTCCCCCAGCCAGGAGGAGTCCACCCACAGCAACCTCTGCTCTGAACGTCCCATCTCAGGCTGCCCCTGGGGGCCCTAAGAGGCTGGGGAAACCTGGTTCCCGACTCATCATTTCCCCCTAAGGTTTCCAGGAAGTCCCCAACCAACCTAGGGACACTACGTCAGCAAAGACCATGTGGACCCAGTAGTTTGTTCTCCTTAAAAGGGGGGAGAGCCTTTCTTGGGGGTGGGGTGAGGGGCAGAGACCACAAGAAAAAGAATCTACCCCCTTTCTAAGTGGCCCCCCCTTGTGGAGGGGGCGGAGCACAGAGGGAGGAAATGAATGAGAAGACCTTGGGGGATGTCCCGCTCCGGAGGACCCGAAGTTCCCCTCCTGTCCACGTGGCCACTGCAGCCATCCCTAACACGTGTCCCCTTCCCCACGTGGCCGAAGCACCCCCTCCCACCCCACCTCGCTCCAGCCGGCGGGCAGCGTCTAACCTTACGAGATCCAGGAAGGAATCCATCACCTCCTTGCTGGGAGTCTCTTCCAGGGGGCCGGAGACCCCGGCCGAGGCGTTGATGGCGGCGAGGGCGGGGCCGGGCT